TAATTATGGACACATTAGTAGACATCACACGTGGCATATATACTGATGAAATTTTGGAAGAATTGTGATAAACGTATGACATTGGGGGAGGCACTCCGATGCCGGAGGGGTGGCGTTTTTGTGGGTTCGATGGTGTAAAGGGGGAGTGTAGCACAAGGAGTACCTGCCCCGCACGGAAGATCAATCTGCAGACTACTTTCGTCACGATTCACCTGCCGCCACAACAACAACTTCCACCATTGCCGCCACCCGTGGGCATAAAGTTGCTCGCGGGGTAACAAGACATCATAGGAAAACAACACATGGGCTGGCAAATCTGTTTCTTTTCTCTGATCAATTCGACGTTCTGCATGTATGAGAGGGAGTATACGGTCCGGCCGTCTATCGGATAGTAAGGCTCTGGATCTGGCTTTTTCTTGCATTTACACCTTTTCTCTACGTAGGGTATGAAAGTGGCGTCGCAAAAACAAGGCCCACCGGGCGCACCGCTCAGACTTCCACTGCATTTGCAAAAACAACCGTCGAAGTTGGCGCTTTGGGGCGGACCGTACCCTTTATCGGGCCAGGCTCCTCCGCTGCCACACATACAGCCACCGTATCCGCCACCTGGTCCACTGACAGTGAATCCACCACTGCCGATAGGGCAACTTCCACCTCCGCCAAAGCCACCGCCACCACCCCCGCCAAACCCACCGCCACCACCTCCGCCAAAGCCACCGCCACCGCCACCACCTCCGCCAAAGCCACCACCGCCGCCGCATGTACTTTTGCCTCCGAAGTCTGCCCCCTTACCTTTATAACCTTTCTTGCCTTTCATTAAACAATTATCACTTCCAACTATTACCTGGTCATCATCGGCAAGGTACCGGATCGCTTGATCATCGTTATCACAGTTAGTTTTCCTATAGTCCGCCATGCACACCATTACGAATGGATCCTCCTTAGGGCAAAAGCATCGATATTCATCTTTCTCTTGGAACTCTTTTTTCTTTATCGGACTCAGATCGCGTGTTGGCGATTTCCGTTGATCAGATTCTCTTTCCGGCACATCCAGCCACGATTTAGCATGGCTTACCGTGCAACGGAGATTCTCTTCTGTGGCTTTTTCCAATGCGCAAAAGCATTCGTAAGAGACAGTAGGAGGAGACGGTGGGGGCGGTGGTGGCGGAGTGCATGTCTCCAATATATCACTGCTGCCTGCCCAGCAGCACGGCGTGTAGCGACTGGGGACAGGTTCGAATCCCTGGAGCCTTCTGCTGTCCGCTCGGAAGGTGCAGGACATGCCTGAACATGTCTTTGAACGGTAGAGAGTCTGCGTACCTTTGTTCACTGAATCATTCCATGAATAAGGAGTATGTTTCGACTTGTCACAATCAAGTGTCTCACCAAGACTGACTCTTGTCTCGCATTCCCGTTTTTTATACAGATACTGGTTGAACGCGTTGATCAGGTCTTCGTTTTCGTCCGGTTTTAAACGGATGGCTCGAAATCGTGGCATTGGTATAAACTTATGTATAATAATATGTCTGTAAATATATTGTAAAATCTAGTAGAATGGAATTTTTAAAAATTTGTATGTATTATTTTGTATAATTAAATTTATGTAAGTAGAAAATCAGCAGCATGGATAATGTTATCTTTTACTTTTGTCTATTTTTTCCTTTTGACTTTTACTCAGAATTAAATATGAAAAAGCAATGTTAAAAAAAAACAGTTATTTTTGTTTATTTAAAATCTTAAATCCTCCAACTTTACAATAAAGAAAGACGATTATATAGATTTTTTTGGTTATTTTGTATTATTTTTACTTTCGGTTATCATATGCTTTGCTTATCATATCGATCGGAAATTAAATTCTCTTTTAATTAATAACTGATTTAAACATCAGATTTTTAAATTTATCTGTTATAAATTTTGTTTTATGATTGATACAGCTTGTGTACCCAATTTTCAAAAATAAACGACTTTCCTTTCTTAAAAATTATCTGGAAAAAACAACGAATTGGCCGAAAAAACTGTATTTTTGTTTATTACATTCCTACGTTCAGCACCAATGTTTGATTGGGCTGAACGGAGTACTGTTCAATATATCATTATTAATAGTGATATATGTAATTACACTTATCTGTAACTGTCATAATTTTTCATTGAGCAACGACTTCCACTCTTTCTTTTTGCTTTGATCCTATTACTTATGCCGCAGTTGCAACGGTTGTCGGTCAAGCCTTCCCTATCCGTATCGTGGCAAAAGTTGTATTGGTTTTTATCCCCCCAATCGACTACGATCTTTTGCAACGGACGGCGTGATTTATGTCTCGACGAGGTCTTAGACGTTTGCCTGGAAAATGGAAATCTTTTCGTCTCACTAGGGTATACTTCATTTTCGTCGCTGGACATATCGTAATTGGTCATTCGCCGGCCGCAATGCGATCTGATCGATGACCTCGAAAATCTACTCGTCGGTTCGTCTTCGGGAAACCATACCGCCCTTTCTGACGAATTTTCGCAACTACATTTGTAATCATCTGACAAATCGTCCATCGGCGGTCTCACCCCGATGTTAAGAGCCATCTGATTCATCCTCAAGGCTTCCAATAAATCTTGAATTGGATAGTCGTTTACAAAATTATTCAAATTCGGTAGACTTTGAGCCACTTCTTTATTACTGACTTGTCTCGGATCATAGGGTGCAAGGCATAACGAATTACTGCTCGATGGACCCAACGAGTAAGAATCGCATTCACAGCAACTACTATTCCTTCTGCTGCAACACTGAGAACCGTAGCAAGGATAAGCCCAGCAGCCTGAATCGGCTCTTCTCCAACTCCTGAGGTTTTGATGATCACCCTGACTACAGCAGCACTCCTCGCGCGTGTCTGTATTTTTGTTCTCCCATTTGAAATGACTTCGGCACGAATTCCGCTTTTTACAGCAGCAGTCTTCTTCGCTCGTCTGCCCCGCATGCTTACTCCCGTGGTATGTGGAGCAGTGTCCGACTTGATTTCGCCAGCATTGACATTTGTCGTCTATGGTTTTGTTAAAGCACGTGTTCCGGCTATGGCAACAGCATTCGTCTGTCAACGGCTGTACCAACTCTTTACACTGGCTTTGCTGAACGTCTTGCGGGCGAGCTAATGTATTCTCGCTAGGAACTAAGGCCGCAGACTGACAGGTCAAACAGGGGACGGGTAACATCGATGCCGGGTTCAAAACGCTCATCAACATGTCGGTGTTTGAACAATGGGCATACGGGTTTGTGGCTTGATTTGAGGATTCAACGCTTGCGTCCCTATACGTGAAAGGTTGCCCGGCGAATGAATTTGAAAGCTCACGATCTCCATTTAAACCGTAATTTTTTAGGTGTTGCGAACAAGAGCCGTTTTGTATCATCGGTATTCCCAAGTGACTTGAGGAATTCGCGATAGGCTGCCCGGTGAAAAAGTTCACCTTTTCTCCACTTTTGCTGGCAATGTCGTGACCACTTTCACTTCCATTAGCATTCTTTGCATCTGATTTCGTAGAGTTTATGCCGTTGAGGGTTGGTTTTACGTTCTGGAGTTCCCTCTGATCCACTCTGAGGAAGGAGACATTATGATATCCTCTGCTTTCATTTTTTGCTATTATGGCATCACATGTTCTTCTGATTTCCATGACGGGAACACTGGTTATCAGAGGAGGCAGCCTATGCTGTAGCAAACAACGGCGTTCTCCTCCTCCTCCTGCTACTCCCGACGGCGTTTCTGCTCTGCTTGTCTGTGCCCCTTGATTTTCAGTACGTTCTTTTGACTTATCGCTCTCAGGTTCTACTATTCCCAGCGCGTCTTGCTTAAATTGGTTAAACTCGTTGAAAACGTTATTACTTTCTCGCAAATCGAATCTGCTTGACATCTTGCATTTAAATAAAGGCAATGAGTATTTGTGTGATATGTGTTGTGACTATAGAAATTTAAATTTAGTGGAATTTGTATCGTTTTGTAAATTGGACCAGATTGTTGTGATTATAAAACAAATTGTTATTTATGAAGTCATCACGTCATCACGGTTTCAGTAAATGACAATGGAAATTTCCATTTCCTCTATAAAGAAAACCCTATTGCGTTATGAAAATTTTAATTGTTAAAAAAAGGGTTTAGTAATACATAGATTATTATTTTTTCTATATGCTGAGTAAAATGTCTTCACAAAAAAATTGTTCATTTTCAATTTGGAAAATAAAAATAATTGTTAAATAACATATGTAATGGGAGCAGATAGTAGTATTTAAACGGGTCAAAAAAATATACCAACCACATATGTTCTCTCTCTCTCTCTCTCTCTCTCTCTCTCTCTCTCTCTCTCTCTCTCTCTCTCTCTCTTTCCCTCACACACCCACTACCACACTCACTAAACTTCTCTCATCTTATCTCCTTTCTATATATTATATGCCCCCTAGTTGGCGTCCTAGTTAGTATTTGACCAATGGACTTTGTTTAGGGTAAAAAAAAATAAAAATATGACTGTTCAGCCAAAACGATTTTTTGCTAGTATTTGTAGGGAAAACTATTTGTTATAGATGTTCCAGTAGTGATGTTACATTATAGTTGGTCATAAGCATTTTCGCAGCACTAAAAGTTACAATAATCTGACTGGTTTGTTATTGCAATTATTTTATTTTACTGCCTATTTTTCGAGAAGAATTATATTAGAATATTTTAAATCAAATCCTTTTTCTGGATAAAAATATTTAATCTGATATTTAGGCAATTAGCTAGTAAAAAGCATTTTAAAGGAGCAATTTTATTTAAAAATTTAGCAATTCTTGACATTTTGAAACCGTGAGAAACCTGTAAATATTAATAAATTAAAAGTTAATAAATTATCAAATTTTTTGACATCTTTTCAAGTAAGAACATGCTCGTTCTTGAAGCTGTTCAGTGACATGTCGCTTTCGTTTGTTTAAAAAATTGTGTACAATGAGCTATGAGACCACCTGATTTATGTTAATGTTACAAAAAAAACTGTTTATTAATAGTTGATAGTGATTTATTTTCAGCGGGTATCAAGTGAGGTGAAATGTGATGGCCGAAATTTCTCCGGTGTTTTTTTTATTACTGTAAAGACTAACTAAAAGACAGCAAAGAAAAGGATGTTCACGGAATTCATTTGTACGTTTTAAGACAGTCGTTGGGGAGTTTGCACTGGCAGAGATAATCTATATTCTGGTCTTTGTTAGGGTTACAATAACATATCTCTTTGATGTTTCTCGGCTCGTAAATTCTGTCACTTTTACGCACAGGCACTTTCGTGACGTTGGTCCTGAAGTCTTTGTCTTGTGGTACGAAACCGGCTTTTCTGAAAAAGTACTCCAGCGGTTCGCACAGGCAGACAGTTTCCAACTTTATGTTACCCCAATTGGCCAGCATTTCCGCCGGGCTGACCTTCTGCCTTTTACACCTGCTGCACGTCTTTGCTGCCATTTTCTCCATGGTTTTCTCGTTGATCGGAAAAGCGACCTGATTGCGGAACTGGGGTGCTGGCTGTTGACACATGCAAACGACCATATCGGCCTGCTCCGTTTGAACGTCAGCGAGGTTCATCTTGTAGTCAGAGAGGCTCACCTTCAGTTTTTTACATTTTTTACACTTATCTATGAAATCGGTCGGCGAGGTCTTTTCCAACTTTCCGATCGCCTCGAGCCGGTCTATGTAGGGGGCGGCGATTTGACCGTCCAGAGTCGATTTGTCCGTCCCTCGGTGGATGTGAGCCCCGTAGCGAACGTTGTGCTTCGGACAAATGTCACGTCGGACGTTCCTCATCTCGTCCCATTCCGTCTTGAACGGATTCCCTTCCGGCTCGATCATGATGTACGCCACGTCCGGACTGTCCTGTTCCCGGCGCATGACAGAGGGATTCGAAGTCGGCCGGATTTCCAATACCGGATTGCTGGTGATCAGCGGGATGATGTCGTAGTTCTTGACAAAGCGAGGAAGACGTCTCGTCAAGCATAGCGGAGGGTTCTTCGGAGAACGAGTTTTGAAGTCTTTTCGGGCGGTACTTCTGGCAAGCAATTGTAACAACCCTTTCAACTCACGAACGATCTGCTTTTTCTCTTCCTCTTCTATATGGCACTTGTGTTTTCCAACCATGTTTAACTCTTAAACAATAATAAAATGTATCAAGAATACTTAAAAATTTTAACTTGTGTATGTGGCTAAATTGCTAGTAAAAATATTGATGTTCTATAAGCATTCTTGTGTAAAATAAAATTATGTAGATCATATGTTCAACAATGCGGCCATTCCGAATAATGCCACGTGTTTGTTTTGTCGTTTTTCTCGACTTGATGTGTTCTCACGTGACTCTTTTTTTTTAATTTCACAACTTCTCAATTGCTCAAAAACCAACTAGTTTTTACAATTCGTGACCCAAGGGTATTCCTCTCTCCATTGTGCAGCTCCGATTGTTCTATTAGTGCCTCACGTTAAAACCGGCTGCCTAGATTCACATAAAAAGGAAAACGGAAGCACTTTCTTATTTCCCAGGGAAAAGAAACTGTGGGAGGAGGGCTTGTTTTATTGCCGAAGTTAATGGGGGGTAATTAAGTCTGTACATAGCAAATCGACCTTGATGTTTCTTCATTTATTTTCTCCAAAGGATGCATAATATATTTGATAGTATCACTTCAACAAACTTATGCCCGTAATATTTCTCCATTTTCGAAGTCGTTCTACACCAGTTCGACAAAAATTAATTTTATCAAAACTAAAATTATTTACATACTTTTATACATGGAAATACTTCATTTCAACATGTTTAAATTTTTATTTGGAATCCTAGGTCAATTTTAAAGATATATGTAAAGTTGGACGAGGACATCTTCCGGACTTAACCACTGCGATCCAACCCTCTGACGCTAAAAATACAATAATAAATCATCTCATGTATCAAGAGGTCTGTATCGATTGGTATCGATATCTGGCCCTCGGAAGATCTGACTCTTAGAAGATAAGTCATCGTCACCCGATTAAGAATAGGCAATAGGTGGCACACCCTTTATTTGGGCCAAATGTGTCGGCATGCAGAAACGGGTAGCTCGATGTGTCCCGCATAGTTTAAGGGTAATTCCTTTGGCTCCATATATAGAGCGAGTAGGAATGCTGCCCGATATAAGAAACGTGTTGAGTACGAGAATCTGGGTTCAGGTTCCGATATTTGGAGGAATTGTATATAGTACTGATACATATATGAATTTATGGTCCGAAGGTGGAATATTGAGTATCCGCATGGATCCTCAATGATGTGTTGTGGGTGATGCTCTCACCTGCAATTTCACCTCCTGTAAATTGTGCTTGAGCCAATTGCTTGCAGCGAGTATCTGGTCCCCTGTTTCGATTTTTAGAGGAAAGTGGGTTGTTTTATCGTATATTATACTGATAATTTTGTGTTCCTAGTGTGTTGAGAGTGAATGTATTTATTGGCGAGAATATGTACTGTGAGAGGGCCGATGGCGGAATTGAATATCCCATTGGCCCTCACTAAGGTTAGTTATATAATAGGTGTAACCGGTTGTAGAAGAATATCGACTACTCCACCATCCCAACAGAGTGAATAGTATGTAAATAATAAAAAACGTATTTAAGAGTGAGTGAGGGGGTGAATGGGTTTGGTTTTGGGAACTGATTGCTTATGGCCTGAAATGACCTATAGACGGTCAATATTATTGTACAATATAGATTGAACAATAATTTGACGGTTGCCCCTTAACGTTCAATAATATTGTACAAAATTTTGTTTGTGCAATGAACTTGAATAGTTTGAAGGCGATATTGAAGTTTGTGCAATATTTTGTTACTTGTTGTACTTCACAAACTGTCTGATATTGCGCAATAATGTCAACAGACGGTGCAATATTTTCCAGGTTGTACAATATATTTTCAACTTTTCGTCAATCATGCAATGTATTGCACAAACTTTCAATATCGTCTACACACGATCAATTAAATTGCACAACCCAAAATATTGTGCAATAATATTGATCGTCTATGGGCCGATTAACTCTTGGTAGCATCTGGGCGGCTGGATCAAGATAATTGAAGTCTGACCCCGTACTACCAAACCTTCGGTGGCTAATTCTAATTAATTTACTCTATTACATATATTTAGCTATTACAAAGCTGGAATTTCTGGTGGACTACGGGAAGTAATATGCTCAATTATGTACACACGTTTCTTTATATGCACGTGGGCAGTTGAGCTTATATAAATCAGTAACCAGTAAAGATATATCGCCGCAATGTGACAAACGAAGTCATCCAGCTACAGGGAGAACCCGTACCACTTGCATTATCTGTTCGCTATCTCGGCCTACAACTGTATCATAAATTAGTATGGGATGTGCACATTAAAAATGCTGTAACACGAACACGACACCGAATGTACTCCTTAAAACATCTCCTGACCAGCCAAAATAAACCCCTGCATATCAAACGCTTTATTTATCTAACAAAGACCGATTTGGCAGTCCGGCTGTTCAATATGGTCCTCGGCATCAGATACACAAATAAAGAAAATCCAAACCGTTCAGAATCGCATCCTTCGTCTGATAACTGCGGCCCCATGGTACGTACGCAACGTCGCCATTCACCGGGATTTGGATATACCAGATGTCCGGAGGGTAATAAAGGACTTATACGATCCGCACAAAGAAAAAATACTGTCACACCCTAACCCACTAATGCAGGATATCGCCAACAATCAGCCACCCCCGAGACATCTAAGACAATTAAAACGTAAAAGGCACTCTGATCTGGCTAACGAAACTTGAATAGACAAATGTGAAAAAATATAAAATAATAATAATAATTTATTGTTACTTATTTCTTATTTATTAATTTATATGCCATTATAGTACAAATCGTTGCTTCCTATTTTTAAATACTATGTGAGGAACGCCGCTGCGTGTCTTACCTCACCACACGTTTCATGTCATTTTTTTTTTTTTTTTGTATGATATTATGTAGTATCTACTGTGATACTAACTATACTGTACCATTGTACAAATAAAGTTTCTTCAATAAATTTTAAAAAAAGGAAAGATATATGTCAAAAATTTAACTCGGTTATCGTAATTTATTCATACGTGCATATATTATCTTTTTTTAACTTGTATTCCATAAAAACGAGTAGTTTTGACCCGCGGTAGATTAATTCATGTTCGATATTGAACCAGTCATCTTACATTTAAAGTATCATCCTGTTGTACCTTTAGTGTAAGATTTGTCAAGGTGTACTACTTATTCCATGCGCAAACATTTTGTTTTGTAACGGTTAATGTTAGTCACCGTGTATAAAATTATACAAGAAGAGACAGTCGGTAAATTTATTTATTAGTATTTACGAAAATATGTGAGGATTCGATGGCCATCGACCGACTATCAATAATTGTAACAGGATTGTGATCCAAATAATTACTTTTGTTATTTGCCAAGCTTTTGATCACTAATTCGATCTTCTTCAGGGTTCTTCAATATTTGTGAAGAAGATCCAATAAATGACCAAAAGCTTGACAAATAACAACGGTATTTGTAAAATATACCACAAACCTCCTTTACATCAATTATTTACGTAAAATTTTTAGACTATAAGAGTACAAATTTTATTTTTATTCTGGGCTTAATCATTAAACAACGAAAGATTTTTGTCGTTAAGGATCTCTTATTCAGTCTAACAATATCGAAAATTAATTAAGGTTTTTAGTTGAGATAAAAAAGTCAGTTTCACGAGCGGGATTCGAACCCACAACCCTCGGCTAGATACGCCGCTGCTCTACCACTTGAGCTTTCGTGACTTCGTGGTCAAGCGGACCACGAAAACTAGTGAATTTAATAAGTTAAAATGAAGTATATCTTTACTAAAGCTCTCCGTGGCCATTGCATTTGTCGCCGAGAATCAAAATAATAGATTATACGACATTTGAAAAATGGCAAAAAGAAGGGAAAATTTAAATAAAAAGAGGGGTTGAGATGGGAAGTCCGAGTGGATCAAGGTCACGATAGCTCAAGTGGTAGAGCAGCGGCGTATCTAGCCGAGGGTCGTGGGTTCGAATCCCGCTCGTGACACTGACTTTTTTATCTCAACCAAGACCTTACATAGAAAGAATAATCAATTGAAATAAACTAATAAAGGTCTTTGCTATTTATCAAATTTGTTTGGGTTGGAATTTCTTTCATTAGTTTTAAAATGATCTGGGCCCTTTTTTTATCTCAACTAAAAACCTTAATTAATTGAAATATTAGTTGGTCAAGCGGACCACGAAAACTAGTGATTTTAATATCGAAAATAACTAACAATAAGTATATTTACTTTTTTTTACGAATATTGCCTTTGTAATAAAACTTCCCGACAAACAAGTCGAATTTTTACCATTTTCCAAACAAACATGATCACACTATTTTCACCTAACGAACATTTCAAGGGAAAAAAGCTATTTGTTGTTCTTGGAAGGAAACGATATACGAGATAGCTAAACTCCCTTCACCAATAAAACCCTCGGTATAAATAGAATTATCTAGCCAACTAATAATTTACCTTTAGGTCGATTTATCAGAACTCGTTCAACACTTTGATAATTATTGATAACCTAAAAATCGTCCTTTGTGTTTGCTGAATTGAAAACGCATTTCCGTCATCTGACATCAATTGTTAAGTCTGTGCGTTTTTCCCTTGCATTTTTTGCTTTTGTACATTGGAGAAGTTTAAATAGATGACGCCTTTAATTTTAATTTAATAGTGTTTCTTAGCTTCTCAGATGTTTGGTGTGTCGAACATGTCCATCGTTACTATTCCAAATTTGGCAGTATTGTAGGTCTTTTCTGTGTTAAAATTAGCGGACGGATTAAAACTTTACTATATAACTTTACTTTGGCTTTGTGAGCTGTTCAAGTCGAAATCGTGTAAAAGGACGACTCATTAATTCAATGAAAGGGAGTCATTTCCTGCCGGGCCACCTGTTGCTTCTTCACCCAAGCGTAACCCAACGCACTGTCGTTACTCCTAGAAAACCAGACGTTGTCAAAATATGCAAAAACTGGGTGAATCGGTTTCAACAAAATTATTTTTAAAAAAAAATTTAGAAGAGAATTATTCAATTTATTCAAGAATTCAATATTGAAAATATTGAAAAAGGGGGGCGTCGTTGGTCGCAACGGTTTAGGCGTTGACACGGCTTTCATCACTGTAAGTTAAAGGTCCCGGGTTCGAAACCAGCGGCCCCGCATTCGAACTCGACATACTTACAAATGGG